CCGAAGAGAAAACACTTAACTATAGAAGCCTGCACTCATCGTAGCGAGGTAGCACCAGGTGAGAGCCATAACCATCCACCAACACCCCTTACCGGCCAAAGCCTAACCAGCCAAAGCCTAACCAGCCAGAACCTAACCAGCCGAACCAGCCTACCCTGCCCAACCAGCCTAACCAGCCTAGCCATCCTAGCAAGCCTAACCGGCCTAACCACCCATGTAATATTACCATGTGAGGTTACCATGTGAGGTTACCATCTGATATAATCACAGTTGATACTAGACAAAGAGAAAACACTTAACTGGGAAAGCCTGCACTCATCGTAGCGAGGTAGCACCAGGTGAGAGCCATAACCGTCCACCAACACCCCTAACAAGCCAAAGCCTAACCAGGCCTAACCAGCCAGAACCTAACCAGGCATAACCAGCCAGAACCTAACCAGCCTAACCATCCTAACAAGCCTAGCAAGCCTAACTGGCGTAACCGGTCTAACCGGCCTAACAAGCATAACCGGCATAACCGGCGAAACCAACTGAATCGTATGGAACCTGACAGAAACAACACCCCACCACATTCAACACCTGCACTTACCATGGGCAGATGGCGTCTGGGTTGCTGCGTGCATTGCCCCTCAAGCATGCACATCCTGGGTAGTACGAATTAGCCTACCTTACCCGTGTGGTACCTGATATCACCACCAATACTCTCACCTTCAAATCACCCAATCCATTCACCCTTCCGCCCTATCCTCAAGCGGTCTTAGCGCGGCCCTCTTATCCCTCCTATCAGACGCAGCGGCACGCAGCATCCCCGTGGTCATGACTCTCTCTCGCCTGGAGGTGAGAGGGATGCGTGCGTTTGAATCAGCATCTGGTGGCTCCGCCAGCAACTCAGCCACGAGCGCGTTGCTCGGAAGTGACCGCCTGGTGGGGGGTGTACCTGGTGGGGGGTGTACCTGGTGGGGGGTGTACCTGGTGGGGTGGGGGTGGGGGGAGGAGTGGATGGGTGGAGGGGAGGAAGGGGGGAGAGGGAGTGAGGGCCGGGGGAGTGGAGTTTGTGGGTTATGGACTGGCAGTGCAGCTTCGAGCGTTTCAGCTCCGGGGTGACCACCTAGTGAGCGTACATGCGGGGAAGGGGGCAGGGCAGGGGAGGTACAAGGGGGTAGCGTGGGGAGAGGTAGCAAGTGGTCAGCAAGTGCCTCACGGCCTGCCCCTTGGTTCCATACCATTTCCTCTCTACCCCCCTCCCTCGCTTCTTCCTTGCATTCCGCTTCCTCCTCTCCCACCGCCCTCCCCTCCCCCCTGCACTCCATCCCACCCTCCCTTGACTCCTCCCGCCTCCTCCATACCTTCCACCATCACCATAGCTCCCATTCTCCCCATGCCTCAGATCGTCGCCATGGCTTTCATCTAGCCTGGGCCTCCCACCACTCCGGGGCACTGCACGTCTTTTCTCCTCCCCCTCTTCTTCCTTCCTCCTCTTCCTCCTCCTCCTCCTCCTCCTCCCCTTCTCCCTCCCCCACCCACTCCCGTTTCCTCACCTCCTCTCTAGTTCCATCCCCATCCCACGTCTCCTTATTCCCCCCTTCCCCATAACCCTGCTCTGCTCCCCGTCTTCCCCCCCCCCCGCACCTGTCTCGCCAGCACCACCATGCGTTTCAAGCAGCCCATTCACTTCTCCTCACCTCTCCCACGTCGTTAGATCCACCCGCCCTCGCCTTCCCCGCTGGCTTCCCCGCGAGCCCCAATGCATCACCCCTCTTCGCATCTAGCGCATGATCTCCCCGTTCCCCCTCTCCCGCCCTTCCCCACTTCTCCCCTCCTCTGCTCTCCTGCTCCGCCCCCTGTTCCGCCTTCTCCTGCCCCTCGCCTTGCGTCTGCCAAACTCAAACCACATTCACCCGCATCCCCTTTTTCCCCCTCCCCTCCCTGCGCCTCCCCTCCCCGCTCCGCCACTCTTCCACCCCCGCGCGGCCACCCATCACTGCTTATCCCGTCCGCGCTCACCCACCCCCGTCACTGCTACCCCCGTCACTGCTACCCCCGTCACTGCTATCCCCGTCTGCGCTCCCTCTTCGCGCTGCCGCCACCACTCCAGCCTGTGCTTCTTGTACCTCTTGGCGCTGCCGCCACCACTCCGGCCTGTGCTGCTCACAGCGACACATGCCGTTGCCTCCACTATTTCGGCCGGCTTCCGCAGCTGTGAGCTCTCCTTGCGCGCTCGTGCTTGCCCCACCCACCATTGCCGCTGCGGCTCTCCACCATCGCAAAACGGTCTTTGACGGTTAGTCTCCGTCGACAGTCGCTCAATCGTCGCAGTCCGTCGTTCTCTCTCATAATCCGTCGCTCGAGTCGCAGTCCGTCGCTCTGTCATTGCCTGTTTGTCGATCTGTCGCTGTGGCGCGGGCTTCTACCTCCTCTTCGCGCCACCACCGCCGTCGCCGCCGCTCTGAACCTGTGCTGCTCACAGAGACGCGGCTGCTTCTGCCGGTGTCACCGCCGCCGTCGCCGCCACTGTTTCGGCAGCCGCAACCGTGCTTGCGCCGCCCGCCATTGCTGCCGCTCCTCGCTCCTCTGCTTTCGCGGCATTCTGCCATCGCGAATCGTTTTAATCGTTGTCGTCGTCTACCGTCGCTCTCTCGCCGTCTACCGTCGCTCGTCGTCTACCGTCGCTCGTCGCTCTCTCGTCGTCTACCGTCGCTCGTATGCTGTTCCTTTTATGTCGTCCACTGTCCCTTTTTCGCCGTCGACGGTCGCGGTTTTGTCGACGTCCGTCGCTTCGTCGTCTCCCTGTCTGTCGCTTTGACGCGACTGCTATCGAGCCACTAATGATGCTGCACCCTGAACGCGGGTCCCCCGTGCACTCGAGTCTTGATAGTGGCGAACGTCCGCCTTGGGTGGGGTAACGCAATGTAGCTAATAAGAAGAAAGTGATTCAATGAACAAACTGTTATGAGTGCGCTATTGGTACAAACGAGAGAACTACAAAACTGAATGACCTACCGGAGTCCAAAACGAGGGCTCGGGTTAGGCAGAGCCGAGATAGGCGAGGGCCTCGGGGGGGAGGTTCGGAATGAGGCAAAACGTTCAATAGCGATTCGGAAGTGGTTCGGCTCGGTATTGTAGGCCGAACCAGTTGCCAAATCGTCGGGACGTGCAAACCAAAGAGATCTACAAGACGATAAAAAATTGCTTATACAAATTACATATTAACCCAGTACTACGTACTATTTTGAATCAACCCTAATCAATTTCTCCGCAAACAATACGAGTTCACTTGACACATTCAACCATCGCAGGTAATCAAACTCGCGCTATGATGCATAAGAACTTAGCTAGTGCAGTGCAGTTTTATAGACGAAGAAGCACTACTAACCCCATTGTTGTTGGTACAAAGTTTCCCCTGCAGGACTCAGCATTTGACTGTAGCAAGTCCTGGCTGCAGCTTGCCTGGCTCGTGGACCTCTTGATGCCCCAGCAGCAGCCTTCAACTCCTGCATGGTAGAGATGGTGGTGGGAGTGAGATGGTGGTGGGAGTGAGAGGGTGGTGGGAATGAGATCGAAGTGAGAGCGTGGCGGCGACAGGAGTGAGTGCAGTACCACAGCCCCACAGCCGCAAGCTGGGCAATGAATCTCGTCAGCAGCCCACAGGTTTCACGTAAAAGTGCACACCTGCAGTAGTCGCAGGGTCCACATGAACACTAAGAACAGTGCAGAGTCGAAAACTCATGGGCACACATGGGTGCATCTTGAGACGTCTTAAGAGAAGCAGGTGCAGTGCGCGTGTGAAGGGTTAGAGGGGGTAGAAACGGGAAAGAGATGTGAAAAGTGCGCAGGTGAGAGCAGTGTGCGCCAACGTGGAAGCTCGCTCTCACGTGCTGGCCGTGGGAGAGGGGTGCCACTGTGGGAACAGGAGCTCGTGCACTGAGGTCGTTTTTGAGGCGCCTCAAAAAAGACGTTGGCAAGGGACAAGCAGGTGAGGAGCTGCGAGGGATGGGAAGAGGGGGGGAGGGAGAGGATATGGGAAAGGGAGGGGGTAGTGCTTTGGCCACCTTAGGAGCTCGCTCTCACGTGCTGTCCGTGGGAGAAGGGTGCCAGTGTGGGAGCAGAAGCTCGTGAGACGTTGGCGAGGAAAAGTATGTGGGGGGGGGCTGGGAGGGGTGCGGAAGAGGTGGAGAGGGAGACGATATGGGGAAGGGAGGGGATGGTACTTTGGCCTTGGTGAACAGTGTGTGTACGCTGTGGGGGGGGGAGGTCAGCGCAGTGCTGCACTTTGTGTGTTAGCCTTTAAATTCTAGGGTTTACAACTTCTTAGTAAGTTCAGTTTTTTCTGGGTTGGGGATAGACTTTCTAAACCCAACCTATCCAACCCTGTCCAAACATATCTATCCAAAATCTCCTCAAATTTGATAGGTTCTCCTAGAATACCTACCCAACTTCTCCTCCTTGTTTGAGGTACTTAAGGCCGTGTATCTTTCTCTCTTATCAATCGATTCTACTCTCATTCCGACAGTTGCCACCTAGGATAACACCACCGCAGGGCATTCGCAGGGCATGCAACTCCGAGAGTGATATGAACATGACACGAGCTTAAGTCAAAAGTGACCTGAGATTATAGTGACTCGAGAAATACCTGAGAATGACCTAAAATTGACCTGAGAATGACCTGAAAATGACCTGAGAATGATCTGAGAATGACAAGAAAACGACATGAGAATGACCTAAGAAATACCTGAGAACGACCTGAATAATACATGGTCCAGTGGTGACTGACCAGTGGGTGATCAGAGGAGGGAAGGGGCAGAGCCATGATGGGAAGGATCGCATGGGGGGTTCGAGCAGGCGAGTGACAGGTGAGACGCAGGTAGCATGGGAGTGTGGGACGCTTGTGAGAAATTTCACAAGCAACTTAAATGTAGTCAGTTTTCAAGTCGCTCCGATTCTAGTTTGTTTCTTGGTTACAGAACCAGTTGGCGAGAGCACGTACAAGGTCGGAAGCTCACCTACCAGGTAATTTCGGCAGTCCCTGGACCTTTGAAGGCATGGTGGGCCCCAGTCTAGTCTGGCTTGGTAGCCCTGTGGGACTTGGGACAGGTGAGGAGCTGAAGGGCGGGAAAGGGGGAGGGGGTAGGGGATGGGGCAGGGTGGGTCGAGGGTTAAGGAGGGGGGAGGATGGATGTGCTAAAGTTGTGAAACAGTGCTTTGAAGGCGAGAGCTGAGAGAAGTGTGGCGAGAGAGAACAGTGGGGCAGAAGTTTACTAGGAGACACAGGTGCCGAGCTTGTAGTGGAAGAAGGGGAAGCTGGAGATAGAAGTGGGAGGGAGCAGAAGAGGACAGCAATAGAGATTGTTGCCCTCCTGTGAGGAAATCCATGGATTTTTCATATATTTTCTTTTTCGGGGGGGCTCTTGGGTGAACCCAGGGAGAATCACGCTGAGTAGCAAACCATGGTGGGAAGGATAGTCAGCGGGATCGGGCAGGTGGGCAGACAACGATTGTATAAATTTTTTAAACTTGAGGAGGAATTCTGCAGGCGGAGAAGATTTAGGGGTTTTGGAAACGTAGGTGCACAGGTGGGTTGGTTAAGAGGGGGATGGGAGGGGGTAAAGCACGGGAAGAAAATAAAGGGATGGGATGGGAGGGGATGAAGGGAGCAAAGGGGGTAGAGGGAAGGGCGGGCGACAAGTGATTGTAAGGACAGCTCGGAGTCCATGAGGGTTCCGGCAGGCAGGCATGCAGGGGACACGTGGGGATGTAGGAGGCGCACGCACACAGCTGGGAGGCAATCATGACGTTTCCGGCAATGGCGCCTCTGGCGGTGGTGCAGCGGCGGTGGTGCGTAGCATTATCATGGCGAGGCACTATTGTCGTCAAGAATGGCCATGGCACCCGGCAGCGCGGGCCTGGCGGGAAGGGAGGAGACGTGGGGATGCGAGCTGACAGATTGCGAGGAGGGGGTGAGAGCAATGCAAGGAAAGCACGACCCCGTTGCTGTCCTGAATTGCCCAGCAGTCATGTGAGAGCGTGGACGGTTTGAGGGCTGGCAGGTATGCAAGGAGAAGAAATGAGGTGTGGGTGAGTGCAAGGCAGGCAAGGGAAGGAGGAGAGGAGAGTTTGAGGGCACTGCAGTGCAAGCACAGCCCCATTGGATATCACAAATCGTCAGGATCCCGATGCTTGAAGAGTCAAGCCAAGGGTGACTGGAGGCCAACTCCCCACCTCAGCCTCTAGTCACCTTGGCTACGCGGCGCCAGGACGTGATCACGAGCACGGGAATTCTGCACGCATCACCCCGCACAAATTCCGCCACCAGAGTCAGCACCGCTCACCCCGCATGCACAGACCACCCCCACTTCCCACTTACTTCTTGTTCGTACCTGATAGAACCAGCATTTGTAGCCCACGCACTTCTTCCCCCACCCGCCTGGTCACATTGCACGGAATCACCTTTACCCTGCAGCTTTTGAGAATTCCCAGAAGTAACTTCATCTTCCCCAACCTTCCCAAATGTTGGTGGGGAATGAATGAGGGCGTCACCTTAACCAGTCCCCCAATATCCACCTCACACCTGCAGTCACGTTGGCCGGGCAGCATCCGGAGAGAAGCAGTCAGGTACCTGCAGAGCCAATAACCCACCCACCCAGCCAGCCAGCCATACCACCATCACACAAACCGGCGAGACGGCGCTAGGAGAGGAGCACGGCCACTGCAATGCTGCATGCATTAGTCCCCTTAGATAAAACCAACAGCCCACCTTAGTGTGAGATACCTGCAGAGCCAAATCACATTACCGTGAGGTACCTTAGATAACCCACATTACCGCGAGGTACCGCAAATCACCAATACCCCACCTCGGCCCCTAGTCATCTTGACGAACATGGGTATGCTGTGCTGCGCGCATTACCCCTTATCTTACCGCACGTTACCTGACAGAATAAAAATCCCACCACATTCAACACTGGTGCTCACCTTGGCGAGGCAGCGTCGGAAAAGAGCCACAACAATGGGAACGCGCGTCACACCTCTCATGCACCTCAGCCACCACTCGCCTTGCCACCCCCATTCCCCACCCCCACCATGTCTTACAAGATAGCACCAACACCCGACCGCATTAAAACCCGCACTCACCTTGGCCAGGCGGCGCCGGGAGAGAGCCACGAGCACAAGAACGCCACAAGTAAGGATGCATCTGATAGGATGGATGTGAGGGCCGCGTCAAGACCGCCTGAGGAACATGGCTCGAGAGAGGGGGGAAGATGGGGTGGGTGAGTTGGGTTGGGGTAACTAACTGGGAACGCTGCGTGTGGCGCTTTTGAAATTGGAGCGCGTGCAGCACCAACGCCAGCCGATCAGATAGGGTTGGTTGGAACGGCGAATGGGAGAACATGCTCTGCCAACTCTAAAAATGTCTTGCATTATCATCCCCGCACCCTTCTCTACCCCCACCCCCTACCCATCCCGTTTTCCCCTCGCCTGGCCCTGGGACGTCCTCCGCATTCGGTGGCAGCACCGCACACTTGGCCCTCCCAGCAGCACCGATGCACCATTCGCCGTTCACCTTGAGGGCGTTTCACCCCGCTGCCTTCTTGCCCGCTCCTCTCCTCCCCTCAATCCACCTCTCCTCCCCTCTCCTCCCCTCTCCTCCCCTCTCCTCCCCTCCCTCCCCTCCCTCCTCTCCTCTCCCCCCACCTCTCCTCCCCTCTCCTCCCCTCCCTTCACCTCCTCTCCCTCCACCTCTCCTCCCTTCTCCTCCCCACCCTTCTCTTCCCCTGCTTGCCCTTTCTGCCATCCCTTCTCTCCTCCCTTTCTCCTCCCTCGCCCGCGCATACCCACGCGTGTCCCATCTGCCTGCCTCCCATGCATCTCCCCCTCGTCCATTCTCTGCTCCCCCTCCCTCGCCTCTCCCCTCCACTCCACTTCCACCTCTCCTGTCGCCCTTCTCTCCTCTCCGCTGCCCCATTCCACACTCCCCTGATCCCACACTCCCCTGATCCCACACTACCCTGATCCCGCACTACCCTCTCCCACCTCCGAGCCCTCCCTCGTTTCTCCTCTCCCTGGCCCCACCCTCCCCCCTCCCATCCCAACCATTGTAGCAGCACACCGCCCTTCACGCCTCTCATGCTCCATCCATCCCGTGCCTCCCCCATACCTCCCACCGTCCCCATGCACCACACTCCCTTCTTCCTCTTCCTCTTACCCTCCCTCTCCCTCTCCCTCTCTCCCCCCCTCTCCTTTTCCCTCACCCCCCATCCTCCCCCACCCCCTCCTCTTCCGTCACGTCCGCTTCTGTTCCCTCCCCATCCCACTCCCCTCCGCCCTCCCCATTCTTCCCCGTCTCCCCCCTCCTGCCCTCCCCCTGCGCCTGCCTCGCCAGCACTACCATGCGTTTCACTCGCTTCTACTTCCTTCCCCGCCTCACGCCGATGATCTCTCAAGTTGCTGGGTTCACCAGCACCCGCGCTTCCCCGCGCCCTCCCCTGCGCCCCCCTCCGCGCACTCGCGCCCTTTTACCCGCCAGCGCCCGTCTCGCTCTTCTTTGAGCGCCATGCGCGCAATCTTTCCCCTTCCCCCACCTCTCCACTTGCCATTTCTCCCCTACTCCGCTCTCCTTCTCATCCCTCTGCTCCCATTTCTCCCACCCCTCTCCTCGTTTCCGAAAAACCCAAGGCACGCGCGCCCGCATTCTCCCTCCTCCCTCCCCTCTCCCACGCCTCCCCTCCCCGCTCCGCCTCCCCTTCCCCCTCCGCGCGGCTGCCCGTCACAGCTGCCCCCATCTGCGTTCCCCTTCCCACTGGCGTGAAAATACATTTCCGCGGACTCTCGCAGAGGCGGTGGTAGAGGCGCATGCGCAGCGCGGAATGGCGGTGGGGGCGGCGGCGGAGACGGCGGAGAGGAAGTGATTCAGGGCGACCGGCGCGGGCCTCCACCGCCTCTTCTCGCTGCCGCCAATGCCACTGCTGCGTCGGCCTTTGCTGCTCGCAGCGACGCTGCTATTTACGCCGCTGCCGCCGCCGGGAGACCCGCCTGCTCGCGCGTGCCTGCCTCACCCTTCATTTGTGCTGCTCCTCGCTCTTCTGCTTTCGCAAGACTTCGCCATCGCGAATCGATTTTAGTCGCTATCGTCGTCTACTATCGCTCTCTCGCCGTCTACCGTCGCTCGTCTGCTGTTCCTTTTTTGTCGTCAACTGTTCCTTTTTCGACCTCGACATTCACGTTTTTGTCGACGTCCGTCGCTCCGTCGTCTCCCTGTCTGTCGCTTTGACGCGACAGCTATCCAGCCACTAACTAACGCCCGTCCTGAACGCGTGCTGTGTGAACTCCTACAGAGTCCCGAAAGCGGCCAATGTTCGCCGAGTAGCGGCAATGTGGGCTTCGATGAACGAACTGTTAGTAGTGCAACGCTAATACTAACTGGAAAACCAAAGAATTGATTGTCATCGGAGTGTCTAATAGGCAGAATCGAACTAGGCGAGGACGTCGGGGGAGAGGCTCGGATCGTGGCGAAAGGTCCGGAAGCGACTCGGAAGAGGTTCGGGGCGAGGTTGTAGGTCGAATCAGTTGAGGCGAACTCTTCGGGACATACAGGCAAAAGCAATCTACAGCGAGAAATTTTAATAGCTTACAAAAACTTCGCGTAATGAATCGAGCTTTAGCTACTATTTTGGACTAACCCCAATCAATTTCTCTGCAAATTCTACGAATTAACTCGCCAAGCTCAACCATCGCATGAAATCATTCACGCGCTAAACCATATGCAGTGCAGAGCAATCACGGAACATACACACACAGCTTCTAACAATTCATAGAAAAAGGAGGCACACAACTAGAACTTGTTAGAATAGTAGCCTTAGGGTTTGGGGTAGCGTGAGCGAGAGAAACAGGAAGGTGAGGTTCACTACAGCAAGGTTACAAGATATAGCAAAGAAAGGTGAGCACATTGGTGCACCACCACTGTAGCTACACTAGAACACACAGCAAGCAGGGTATATAACAAAACTTAACACACCCCCTTAACCTGCTTGCCGTGATAACTAGTACAGGTACACGTGGCGCAGCGGAAGAGGGTAGAGAGGTTAGGAAGGAGGAGGAGGTGAGAGGAGAGGAGAGGAGATGAGAGGAGGTGGGGGGCCAGGACCGGCGGACCCGCTTACGAACCTCCTTTTACAAAGGGGAGGTGAGAGAGGGAAGGGAGAGGAGGTGGGCTAGGCGGGCTTGAGCGCGAAAGCTCATAGCGATCCCCCCCCGTTAAGAACCCCCAAGTCCCGATGAGGAGAGGAGGTGGGCTAGGCGGGCATGAGCGCGCACGCTCAATGCGATCCCCCCCCGTTAAGAACCCCCAAGTCCTCACCCCCCTGTCAGTCAACCCTTTTAACCTCACACCCTCAGCACCTGTCTACTTCCGCCACCCCCTCACCCTCCTCCCCTTCTTCCCCCCCCCCCCACCCCCTCTCCATGGCAGAAGCCGCGGAAGGGAAGGGGGGGGGGCGGCGTAAGGAGCTGCTGGCGGCTCACACCCGCCACCCCCACATCTCCCCCTCCCCCCCACCCCCCCACGACGGAAGCCGTGAAATGGAGGGGGAGGGGGGGGGGAGCTGCCGCCGGCGCTTGCGCTGGCGCTGGCGTTGGCGCACGTGTCGGCGCTGGCGCTGGCGCTGGCGCTGGTGCCTGCTGTCCGTGCTGGCGCTGGCGTTGGCGTCCGCGACGGCGCCTGGCGCTGACGTTCGCGCTGGCGCCTGAGCGTGCGTGGCCAGCGGCGAGTCGACCGGGCCGCGGGCGACGGGGTCGTGCGCGGGGCGGGGCGAGCGACGGCGCGTCGGGAAGGGCGCAATGAGCAGGGCACTACGAGCGCGACGAGCAAGGCGTAATGGGAGCGAACGGGAAGACAAAACGGGCACGGAGCGACGGATCTCGCCATTGCGCAGCTCGCCACCGTGTCGATCAGCAGCGACTCGAGGCGCCGCCATAACGAGCATAAAACTAGGCCTAGGAACGGCCTGCTCTGATTACCATGTTAGAATAGTAGCCTTAGGGTTTGGGGTAGCGTGAGCGAGAGAAACAGGAAGGTGAGGTTCACTACAGCAAGGTTACAAGATATAGCAAAGAAAGGTGAGCACATTGGTGCACCACCACTGTAGCTACACTAGAACACACAGCAAGCAGGGTATATAACAAAACTTAACAGAACTGGCCACATTGGAGTGTTGATGGTACAAATTCTCCCCTGCATGACTCCACATTCGACTTGTCCACTTGCTGCTCCACCAAATTTCCATCGTACACGACGGAGCCGGTGGTGGGAGCGAGAGGGTGGTAAGAGCAGTGGTGTCATGACAAACCCCTTGCCACAAGACTCCGAATTTGACTGCAGAGAGACTTGGCTGCAGCCTGGCCTGCCTTGACCTCTTGCTGCCCACCAGGCTTCTAATTCTGCAGTGGGAGAAGGCTGAACGCCTGGAAAGAGGGCAGACGGAAGGTGGGATGGGTGGACAGGGGTGGTTTGAATGCTACATCATCACCCTCCCACCATGGTCTCACTCACCCCACCTCACTCACCTGCCCCATGCACCTCCTCCACACTAAAATGGGCAGCGGCACCACGCACACGTGTACAACCCAACAACCTTTGCCAAGGGCCTGACATAATCGAGACCAACAACCCTTACCCCGCTTCTCGCTTTCCTTCATCCCGTCAAATGCAACTTCCCCCCTCAACTGCTCCTTTGCCCATCACTGCACACCCCCTGCCACCTGTCATGTCACCCCATACCCTCCTGTCCCCTCTCCCATGTTGATCCCCCCCCACCACGCACTTGCGCAACATTTACCCTCACCTGACCCTGCCTCTCCCCCACCTCACCTGCCCCTGCCCATATCCCCCCTTCCTTACCTTCCCCTGTCCTTTCCCCCCACCCCAACAGCACCTGCCGCTCCCTCTCCCCCACCACACGAATGTGCACCATTTACCGTCGCCTCACCCTGCCTCTTTCCCCCTTTAATTCCCCCCTACCTCTTCTTCCCTTCAACTCGCCTTGCCTCCTCCTCCCCCTCACCTGTCCCAGGAACCTCATCTGCATTAGGTGTCACAAGCACCAACACCCCACAGTACTGTGTGTGTTACCTGGCAGCACCAACACCCCACAGTACTGTGTGTGCCTTACCTGCTGTTTGCCTTACCTGCTGTTTGCCTTACCTGCTGTTTGCCTTACCTGCTGTTTGCCTTACCTACTGTTTGCTTTACCTGCTGTTTGCCTTACCTGCTCTTTGCCTTACCTGCTGTTTGCCTTACCTGCTGCTTGCCTTACCTGCTGCTTGCCTCACCTGCTACCCCCGTCACTGCTACCCCCGTCCCTCTTCGCGCTGACGCCACCACTCCGGCCTGTGCTGCTCACAGCAACGCATGCCGCCGCCGTCGCCGCCACTGTTTCGGCCCGCCTCCGCAGCTGGGAGCTCTCCCTGCGCGCGCGTGCTGGCCCCACCCGCCATTGCCGCTTCGCATCGCGGCTCTCCACCATCGCAGAACAGTCTTTGACGACAGTCCGTCGCTCTCTTATCACCGTACGTCACATCTGTCATTGCTTGTTCATCGCTCTGTCGCAGTGGCGCGGGCTTCTACCGCCTCTTCGCGCCACCACCGCCGTCACCGCCGCTCTGACCTGTGCTGCTCGCAGCTACACGGCTGCTTCCGCCGGGGTCCCCATTCTCAGGATCCAGGGTGCTGTTTCGCGGCGGCAGGGCCTTGTCTGGTGGGATGGAAGCAGGTGATTGCGTACGGCAGCACGCAGAGTTCGACTTTTGAGTCGACTCAAAAGGCAGCACGCAGAGTTCCTGGATGTTCTTTCCCCACCTCCCTCTCTCCCCCTTGTGTGTAGGCAAGTGTGCCACACATTGCACCTGAGGCCATCACACCCCCTTTCAACCTCCTCTCAGAGGCCATCAGTATTCATGAGGTGAGAGGCATGGGGGGAACTTATGGGGTGAGAGGCATGGGGGGAACTTATGGGGTGAGAGGCATGGGGGGAACTTATGGGGTGAGAGGCATGGGGGGAACTTATGGGGTGAGAGGCATGGGGGGAACTTATGGGGTGAGAGGCATGGGGGGAACTTATGGGGTGAGAAGGGTGGCAGTGGGGAACAGAGGGACAAAAGAAGAACGCAATGATGCGGGCCACTGGCCGCACCAAACGAAGAGAGAAATGATGCGGGCCACTGGCCGCACCAAAAATGGGAAAAGAATGGATATGTGGAATGGGGGGGGATGGGGACGATGAATGGGAAGAAGATGGGTTGAGAGGTCGGGGGAGGGGATGGGAGAGGGGATGGGAGAGGGGATGGGAGAGGGGATGGGAGAGGGGATGGGAGAGGGGATGGGAGAGGGGATGGGAGAGGGGATGGGAGAGGGGATGGGAGAGGGGATGGGAGAGGGGATGGGAGAGGGGATGGGAGAGGGGATGGGAGAGGGGATGGGAGAGGGGATGGGAGAGGGGATGGGAGAGGGGATGGGAGAGGGGATGGGAGAGGGGATGGGAGAGGGGATGGGAGAGGGGATGGGAGAGGGGATGGGAGAGGGGATGGGAGAGGGGATGGGAGAGGGGATGGGAGAGGGATGGGAGAGGGGATGGGAGAGGGGATGGGAGAGGGGATGGGAGAGGGGATGGGAGAGGGGATGGGAGAGGGGATGGGAGAGGGGATGGGAGAGGGGATGGGAGAGGGGAGTAGAGTGAGGAAGAGCAAGGGGGGACAGTGAGAGCGACGTGTGATGTGCCCAGCACAGCTACCGGGTGCTGGCCCGACGAGCGTGCAGTCGCACAGAGAGGCCAGTGGCACAGGCCATGAGGGGTCAGTCAGAGGGAGAGCTTGGTAAAGTGAGTGGGTGTGCAAGAGAGGCGGTGAGTGATGGGGTGGGGTGTGGAAGTAGGTCTGGGCTTCAACGCAGTGAGTGTTTGAGGGAGGAGTTGACGGTGGGAGATGCAGGTGGGACAGCCAGGAGGGGCCAGAGGGGAATCCAAGTGAGGTGCCAGAGTTTGAAGAACCCCACCTCCCCCCCTCACCTACCTCCTCCACGTTAGGCGCCAGCACCACAAACGTGTCCCTCCCGCTGCGCACCGCTTGCCCCACCTCCATCAGTCCTGCCAGCAAACAACGCCCCGTCGATCTCTGTGTGTGGACGGTGTATGTGGGAGGAGGTGGGGAAGGAAAGAAAGAAGAAGGGGGCGGTGTCCCTCCCTTCGTCCCTTCCTCACACTCAGCCCCATCTCCGCCTGCCCCACCTCCGCCAGCCCCACCTCCACCAGCCCCACCTCCGCCAGCCCCACCTCCACCAGCCCCACCTCCACCAGCCCCACCTCCGCCAGCCAGCACATGGCGCTGCATGGCCTCGTGCGCATGGGGAGGTTAAGTGGGAGGGGGGTGAGGGAAGTGCAAGGTTAAAAAAAACGCCGTTTTTTTTGAAAATTTACCGTAAAAAACGGCCGTAAAAAACGGTCTACCGTAAAAAACGGCCGTAAAAAACGGTAAAAAACGGTTCCAGAAGGTGGTTTCGTTCGAAGAAAAAATCAGCCATTTATGGGACAAAATTGATGGCGAAAATCACCAGCATGAAGAGGACAAACACCTCCTTGCATGAGTGCGCTTGTGGGCATGATTGAAAATGTATTTGACCTTGTTTTTCCCTTTTTTTCTTGGTGACGACAGTTTTCTAACAAAAAAACGCCGTTTTTTTGGAAAATTAACGTAAAAAACGGACCGTAAAAAACGGACCGTTTTTTACGAAAACCGTATTTTTCATCCTTGGGGAAGTGAGCATGTGAAAGGAGGAGGAAGGGGTGATCTCCTCTCCTTCAGCCCTGCACCTGCACTGCCTGCCCCACCTTACGTCGGCTCTGCAGGCAGATTGGGTGCATCGCTCTCTGTGATAGGGGAATGTAGAGGGCGGAGGGGGAATCTTCAGTGGGGGATGGTTGGAAAACGGAAGTATGTGAGGGGAAGGGGAAAGCGGGGGCCCTTCCCTCCCATGCCCCTTCCCTCCCATGCCAATGTGGGCATGGAAGGGAAGTGTGTGGGGGCTCCGTTGTGGGCTTACCTGGTGGGCGGTGTGTGGGGGAAAAGTGAGGGGGGTTGTGAAAGAGGCATGACGTTGGTGCAGCGAGGGGTGTGGTGGTGAGGGGCGTAAAGGTTCATAGCACGGGTGCGACTTTTGAGGCGCCTCAAAAGGCGTAAAGGTTCATAGCACGGGTGCGCGCATGAGATGGGCAAGGCAGGCAGGATCTGGAGGCGCCACAAAAGTCGTCTCAGCTGACTGTTAAGGACTGGGTTGGTTTTTAAATCCACTCGAATACTTTCCGGTTCAGGGCAGGGTGGGTAGGTGAGATATGGAGGCAAGATGGAGTTGGGCATGGGAGGGTGGGAAGGGAGGGGTTGGGCATGAAGGGAGGGGTTGGGCATGGGAGGGTGGGAAGGGAGGGGTTGGGCATGGGAGGGTGGGAAGGGAGGGGTTGGGCATGGGAGGGTGCAGCACAGGCAGCAGTGGAATCGTTCAGCTCGGGTGTGAGTGTGAGCACCCGAGCGCCGTTCGCCCAAGTCGTTCACCTGGTGTGGTGGGCATCATTGGGCGAAGGGCGCTCGGGGCTCTGCTGCATGCACGATGGGTGGGTAGCAAGTGGTCAGCTCACTCACCTTCTGCTTGCCTCCTCGCCTCGCCACTATAGGGCTTAGATCGCAATTGTATTGCAGGGAGTTTTTGGTTGTCGTTTGAGTCAGATTATTTTGGAAACAGCAATGTAAGTGGTCGGCTGAATCTGCGTTTTCACCTAATGCTTTCTCGCCCTCCCTTATCCTCCCTGCCCGTCACCTCTCCCCCTTTTCCTTCTCCACTCCTTCTTGCACCTTTCCTTGCTGCCTCTCTCCGTCCTTTCTCCTCCCTCGCCTTGGCCTACCCACTCGTTCGTCATCCACCTCCCTCTCCTTCACTCTCCCATCCACTCTCTGCCCCCCTCCCGCACCTCTCCCCTGCACTCCGCTTCCACCTCTTCTGTCGCCCTTTTCAATCCTCTCTCCTCCATCCCACCCTCCTCTGCCCCCACCCTACCCACTCCCTCATCTGAACCTTCCATGCCTCTCCCCCGTCCGACCCTGCTCTTGGCTCTCCCACCCCCATCGCTGTGCCAAAACACCCCTCTTCACACCTCTCATACCCCACCCATCCCGTCTCTCGTCCGTGCCTCCCACCTCTTCACCCCCTTCCTCTCCCCCTCCCCTCCCCACTGTCTCGCCGCCGCCGCCGCCGCCGCCGCCGCCGCCGCCGCCGCCACCACCACCACCACCACCACCACCACCACCACCACCACCACCACCACCACCCCGCACCCGCACCCACTCCCCCTCCCGTCCTCCTGCGCGTTCCCCCCCTTGCGCCCTTCCTTGCACTCGCCTCTTGTCCTGGAGCGCGTTCTCTCCTCTTCCCTCTATCCCGCCCTTCCCCACCCCTCCGCCTGCCCATTCTCCCCTCTTCCGCCCTTCAACTCTGCCCCCTTCTTTCTCTGCCACGCCTTCTCCCGTCCCTCGCCCCGCTTATGCCGAACGCAAGCCACGTGCACCCGCATTCTCACTCCCCGCCCTCCTCTCCGCGCCTCCCCCCCCCCCACTCCGCATCCCCTTCCCCCTCCGCACAGCCGCCCGCCACTGCTACCCCCACTGTCGAACCACGTTTCACCTCCCACTGGCGCGCAAACTGATTTCGCAAACTCTCGCAAAGGCGGCGGTAGAGGCGCGCGCATAGCGGGGATGGCGGCGGCGGCGGCAGCGACGGGGGCCACGGCGGTGGCGGCGGGGAGGAAATGTCCCAGGCGAAGCGCGATCGGCGCGGGCTTTCACCTCCTCGTCGCGAGGCTGCCAACACCGCAGCAAACGCCGCAGCCGCTACTCCTCGCGCCTCTGCCTTCGCAAAATGTATTCTATCGCCTCGCGCCTCTGCTATTGCTCTCGTTTTTTATTACAACCACCCTCCCGTCGTCTACTGTAGCCTTTTTGCCGTCGACTGGCGCTGTCACGTCGCTCTCCGTCGCTCTCTCGTGGGCTGTCTGACGCGATCGATAACCTATGTCAGGTCCTCCTGCGACTCCAACTGAGCGAGCGGCCGTGTTTGGCCAAACGGTGGTGAAATGCAACCTTATCCTAACTCAACATAAACAATTCGTTACGAGTGCGAGTGATGCGCGAATCAACTGAAACGCACTAACATTCGAAACCTGAAGAGCGCACTGAATGGCCAACAAATGTTCAAAACCAGAATATATAGGCAGTGTCGAGCTAGGCGAGGACCTCGGGCTAGCTAAGCTCGGAGGTGTGGCGAAAGGTGCGGCAGCGATTCGGAAGTGGTTCGGAGCGAGTTTTTAGGCCGAACCAGCTGACCAGAGCGCTTCGTAAAAATACTCTTAAAAAAAAAAACCCGCGATCATGGACTATGATTCATTACACACTCAATAAAAGCCAAGTTCTACGTATCATTAGAGAATAAAACTCAACGCCTTTCTTAGAAAATGCTAGGTCTTCTGAAAGGTTGAACCGGTATCAGTTCTTTCATGCCCTACAACGCGTACAGAAATGGTTTGCAAAGGGAATCACGAATTATACATTTACCATACCGTTCGATTTTTACTCTGTATTGAGGGGCACACACAACACAACACAGCCCGAAAAGTGCCACCGGGTGTTGGAAACTCTCTCTTGTGGCAGGACTCTGCATTTGACTGCAGTGAGTCTGCCTTCTCCTGTCTGCCTGGACTGTTTCCTGCACCCGGATGCTTTTCCTGCATGGTAGAGGCGATGGTGGAAGTGAGATGATGGTGGGAGTGAGATGGTGGTGGGAGTGAGATCATGGTGGGAGTGTGGCAGCAATAGGAGTGAGTTCTGGCACAGCAGTATCATCTGGAAAGGGTCTAAAGCAAGCGCCAGTTTCCCCCTAGCCCCTTAGAATCCCGCTGCAAGTGGTTTCTGATCATTCTCACGACCCGCATGGCATAACGCAGGGTGCCGTCTGCTTCACCCAACACCTCCCTGGCTGTGTGCATGGTGATGGCGCATGGTATGTGATGGCGCATGGTATGTGATGGCGCATGGTATGTGATGGCGCATGGTTGATGGCACATGGGGAGAATAAGGCAGAAGTAAGGTCTAGGAAGGATTTGCATGCCTCCTCCGCTTTCTGAACTCACCCCTTCCTAAGCTCTATTCACTTTCACACCTCTCCCTTTTCATGACTTTCCCCCTCAATTCTCTGCCACGATGCACTGGAGTACCTGCAGAAGTGTGTGTGTGGGGGGGGGAGGTATGTTGCTTACGACTTTTCTCGCTTTCAACTTAATAGAATCAGTTCTATAGATCGTTTGCAAGCTCTTGGTAGGCTTGCTGCAAATCAGAACCAACTAAGTTCAATGGGGGTGGGGTGTGGGAAGGAGACGCTGAAGGGGAAGGGGATGGTAAAGGGGAAGGAAATAAGGATGGAATTGGAAAGGGGATGGGGGTGGGAAAGGGAAACCAGAAGGGGAAAGGGAAGTGGAAGGGGAAGCGGAAGCAGAATTAGGGGAGAAATTACGGAGAGTGTCAGGTTGCACTATGAACATGTGATCGGAAGAAGGGATGCCAGAGGGAGAGAATGGTGGAATCGGTGAGAGGAAGACGGTGAGTGATGTACGCTGATGTGCTGTCTGGACTATGCAGACCTGGTGGGCTTTTAGAAGGAGGGGGTAGAGTGGGAAAGGCCGGTGGAACAGCCAAGGAGGGATCAGAGGGAAATGCAAGTGAGGTAGGCGAGAGGAAAAGGCGGTGAGTGATGGGAAGGGGGCTAAACGGCAGATGTTCTTTTCACCTTGCTTTGCCCCTTTGCATAACACTGTCGCAGGACATTCAGCCTCAAAGCAAGTAGCACGCACGGAGTTTCGGGCGTCTTGAGCAACACTGCAGAGAAGCAGACGATACATACAGCTGGGTCTGATCGAACACAGTAGAGGTTGCGGGTCAACCTTCAGGTACTCACTCACAACAAAAAAATAAAACTCTTGCGCAGTTGAGGGGGGTCAACCTTTTATGAGTCACAGGGTCTCACAAAACTAAGAGTGACCTGCTGCTGCTGGCGACCCATCATCAGCCCACGTCCCTCTTTCTCACCCCGCACATCCTTCTCCCTTTCATTCTCCTTCACTTAAAACCACCAAAGCAAAGCACCCAGCAGCCCCGCCCATCCTCGCCTCACCCGTGACCCACCAGTGACTCGAAAGTACCGACATGCAGCCCACTACCCCTCACTCACGAAAAACACACACCCCCCTTCTCCCTCTGCTCGTTCACCATGTACCACTCACCCCTGCCCACCCCTGCCCACCCCCGCCCACCCCCGCCCACCCTCGCCCAGTCCCCCCCACCACGACAACAATCACGAACCACGCACCTCCTCCTCCCACCGCTCGCCGCTTAAAAGAGAACCGCCACGGTGCAGCCCCACCCAGCCTTGCCTCGCGTGACCCTCCTCCGCCACGTCAGCATCCTCCACCATGCTGCAGTGGACGTGAGCAGTGCGCCCGCCCTATCGGTGCGGGAGTCTGTCGGGCAGAAGCAGGTGCGCAGCTGGGAGGGGCGGAAGTGAGGCGGGCAAGGGAGGGGGAGGGGAGAGGGGGAAAGGGTAAACAGCAGAGTGGCTTGTGAGAGGGATGTGGGAGATGGAGCTGTAGGGGGGCGGGAGATGGTGAGGCAGAAGGTGGTGCAGGAAAATCAGGTGCGGAGCTGGTGGAGGGGGAAGGGGAGAGGGCAATGGGTGGGGAAGGGAGTTGAGAACAATGCAGCAGTGAACAGCCTCAGCAGCCCGCGGCGGGTTACCCAGTGAACAGTCCGTCCGTGTTGCAGGGACCAGAATGAGTGGGCAGAGATCGGTGCAGGATAAGCATGTGTGGTGCGGAGCTGGTGGAAAGACGGGGGCAGCAGGGTTGGGGGAGGTGGGAAGGAGAGAGTAAGGGGTTGAGAAATACGGCTGCACCAAAGGGGCAGGTATCCGTGGGGCAGAAATTGGCATAGGAGAAGCAGGTGCGGAGCTGGGAGGGATGGGATAGTGCCTTGGTGAACAGTGTGACTGCGCTGTGGGGGGAGAGGGAGCCAGCGGGCCATATGTGGGTTGTGGGTGTATTCTGAATATCTGTCTGCAGTGGCTGTTGGCTTGGCGCACAGTGTAGGTCAAAACAGGCGAGCCGATGACCACTGCCGGATGGGTGTTGAATAGCTGAGATAACAAGACTGCGAGACACGTGAGGGAAGTGAGGGGAGGGTGGTTCGAGCAATCATTTGCTATACTCAGTTGCCAAGTGACCTTCGCCATTTTACGACGATAGGTATGGTGTCAAATATGGTGTCAGATAGGATGGATGAGAGGGCCGCGTCAAGACCACCTGGTGGATGGTGCGAAAGGGGACGGATTGGGTGGGGGTGGGGAGGTGGGAGGGTCGGGTGGGTGGGGTGATTTGAGTTCGGAATGCGTGTGTAGGTATTTGATAGGATGGACCCAAGGGCCGCGTCAAGGCCAGCTTGGGAGAGGCAGAGGGGAAGATGGGATGGGGTGGGGTGCAGTGGGGTGGGGTGGCGTCGGGTAGATAGGCTGGTTACAACTTTGAATGCTGCTGTGAGTGGCGGCGGCGGCATGAGATAGTTTGGCCGCGAGTGAAGCGAAGCATCAAGGCTTCTTGATGGATGGTGCCACGGACGGGGGACGTGGTGGGACTAAGGAGACGTGCAGCCAAGCTATGGGGGAAAGGGTGAGACAGAGACAGGTGCAAGTGGGTGGCTCCATCCCCTTCTGCAAACGACAGGATTCTTGAAAGCGATACATCGCACTACAAGCACCGCACCGGCCTTTTCCACATAAACCACCTCGCCTTCCACAAAAGCTTTTCAGCATTGAGAGACAACACCACGCATCATGCACCCCCTCGTTCCCCTACTCGCGCCCCTTTACCCGTCCCCCCTCACAACCCTCATTGCGGCTCCCTATCGGCTCCCTCGCGGCCCCTTCTCCCGCCCCTCCTCGAGCCCTGATGTGCGTTTTCCACCTTTCCCTCTCTCTCTCTCCCGCCCTCCCCACCCCTCCGCCTGCCCCTTCTCCCTTCCTCCGCCCTCCTACTCCGCCCCCTGCTTCCCCTTCTCCCACCCCTAGCCTCGTTTCCGACAATCCCAAACCAAACGTGCCCGCATTGCCCCTTCCCCCTCCCCTCCCTGCGGCTCCCCTCCCCACACCGCCTCCCCTTCCCTGTGCGCGCGGCCGGCCTCCACTGCTAACCCCATCTGCGTTCCCCCTCCCACAGGCGTAGAAGCCAATTTGCGCGGACTCTCGCGGAGGCGGCGGTAGGGGCGCGTGTGCAGTGAGGATCGCGGCGGCGGCGGTGCTGTCAGCGGCGGGGAGGCGGCGGTGGTAACAGAGAGGAAATCATCCATGGAGCGCGGCTGGCGCGGGCCTATACCTCCTCTTCGCGCCGCCGCCAATGCCACCGCCGCCTCGGCCTGCTTGCCGCGGCGCTGCTATTTCCGCCGCTGCCCCTGCCGGGAGACCCGCCTGCACGCGCGTGCTTGCCCCACCCGTCAATTCTGCTGCTCCTCGCGCCTTGCTGTTGCGG